GGGAGATAATATGCTTCCTGGCAAATCTCTGCCAGCGTCAACTGTCCAATGACTCATTTTATTTCCCCCTAGGGAGACAGCTAATTTAAGCCATGAATGTTCTGGTCCCCGAATCTTTCCAAACCACTCTGATTCAAGTTCAGAGCCCTAGGCTCATAGTATACTGGGTGGCTGAGAAGTTCAAGTTTTCTGTAAGCGCTTACTAAAAACGCGAACAAACTTTGTGGCCAACCCAGTCCCTCTCGGGTCCCCAGGAGGCCCTGCCATCATGCCACTACAAATAAGAACAAAGGTGATAGAGAGCTCTGTCAAGATTCCTAAGCCCACACAGAAGCCCTCCCGGGCGCTGCAGATGGTTTCCAAATGGAACCTTACTGTTTCTCTGGTGAACACAAAGCAAAAGGCAACAGGGTGAACCCATCCCCTTCACCCCTTCCGCGGGCTCGTAAACCACTCACATCTGTTCTCGCCAGCTCCATATCCAGCAATTTCCCGAAAGTAAAGTGCATGTGTTTTCCCAAATGTTGTCACTTGTCAATCGTAAAGGCTGGTCCTGAGACCATTAAACCGAGCTTGGTTAGAATTGACACACTTTCACAGAACGCCACCGTCACAAAGCGGCCTTCGTAGCGGGCTCAGGATGAGTGCGAAGCGCTTTGTCTTAGACTTCAGCTCTCTGAAGCAGAAGCAGCCAGGGTCACAGACAGCATATGGCCCAGGGTGGTTGCAGGCGCTAAGCCCGTCAGTCTGAACGCTCGGCCTTACCACTCTCCATCCATTGCCCAGTCTTCTCCTCTGTCACATGGGAAGGCTGACAGTTCCCGTGTCAAAGGCTGCTCTGCAAATCAACTGAAGTGATGCCGTACAATGCTTAGCGCGGGGGCCAGCCTGCAGTAAGCCCTTAATAGAGCCTTGTCTTATTGTAACTGTTACTACTATTGGCTAGTCTAGATTTCTGCAAGAGGCAAAGTCCTATCTACAAAGAAACACCTGAAAAAATCATTCTTTTTCTCAAACTAGCTTACTTCTGGGAACAATACAGGATTTAAACAGTAAGTTGTCAGTGAAGACAAAGCGATTCAGAAAATGAATTATTCCAGGCTTGCCTTGCCTGGAGTGGCCCCCAAATGTTCCCTTGTGCTCAACGGTTATTACACAACATCTATCAGGTTCTTCATGAATACCCTCCAATGCATGAGTGCTGTCAGAGCTCCAGCCCACCTACTTGCAACCTCTATGCTTCAGGCTTCACTTCAGTCCACTGAGGTTGGCAGAGATAAAATAATAACATCTATCCGTTATCCTCAGTGTAAAATTTTCCAACTTGCAAGGAAGGAATGCCATCCCTTTTATAATGGTGGTACTGGGTGAGGGGTGGCGATGACAACCTCTATCTTATAGACAATTATCATTCTACCAGAATTTTACTTCTGGGTAACTGTGGGAGAAGAACATATGATTTCAGTAAAAGTGTATGTTAAATTGATGAACACTGAAGTGGGCAAGGGAGTTTTAGGTATGAATTCTTCCAGAACACTACTCTCTCTACGGAAGTATTAACCCACTACACAGTAGACCAGTAGCCCAAAGCAGAGCTTCCCCATATGTGTGCCAGGAATGGATTATAGGTTTGCAAGAAGTACTAATCCCATCAGTTTGGGAGGCGACTAGGGCTAGGATGCTTAGGGCAGTATTATACCTGGCCACAAGCAGGCTTCTTCATGGCCATTAGCATATTGCACAGGTATTATCATTTTCTATGTGTCATGACTTGAAAAAGTTTGGAAACCATTGGTTTAGGAAAAGAGTACATTTTTCAGTCTCCTCATTGTAGCCATGGCAAAACTGCAGTACTGGATGGCTTATTATATTTCATGATCATGGTTACCAATACATTCTAGAAAAGCCAGATACACATTCTTGACCTAAGAGGTCATTCCTGTAACCAAAACTCTATTATAGTTAGCTTCCATTGTTTGCAAGACATACAGTAATGGGTAGCACAAATCGTGAGGGCTTTTGCAAGGCCCACCAAAGGAGGCAGAAATCTCATGGGAATTAAAAGGCTGGACTTATTCAGACAGGATATGGAAGCCAACAGCTTGAGAGATTATAGACACAGGAGACCCTGGGGCTTCACCCTGATACTCTGCATGACTTGGCTACATTCTCTCTCCCTTCTATTCTAATTTTCTTCCACTAGTTCTTTGCTTCTGCTTATTTCTAGCTTCTGATTGGTCATAACTTCAGTCTGCTCAGAATTCCTCCTGGTCCTCACTGCCACCTGCTGTCAGCCTCTCCCTCTCCCTTCTTCCCTCTCTGCATCTTTCAGAGTCCATTTCCACTACTAATTCCCAGGGTCCTTCCACATTCTCCGAGTCACGTACTTAAGAATAAGACTCTGGGTGGCACTACCAGTACCTGTTTGGCCAGAACCTCAGAACTTCTCCCAGGCCACTTTCACCAACCTATGGTTTGACTATTTCTGGGACAAACACCCACTGGGTGACAGGAACTGGGATCACAGGGTTCAAAAATGTCCCTTCAAGAGCTTGAGGTAAAGAAGACATCAAATATATAGGACAAGCCCCCTAAAGAGAAGAAGGGTTTATATTTCTACTTGTCAAAGAGATTATTTAAACATATTCATGGTCTCATAAAGAAATTCTTCTGGTGGGACTTCCCTGGTGGTCCAGTGGTTAAGAATCTGCCTCGCAATGCAGGGGATGTGGGCTTGATGCCTGGTTGGGGAACTTAGATTCCACATGCCTCGGGGCAAGTATGCCCACATACCACAACTACAAAGTCCATGCACCCAAAATCCATATGATGCAATGAAGATCCCATGTGCTGCAACTAAGACCAACACAGCCAAATAAGTATCTTTTAAAAAACAAATTCTTCTGGTAATTTTCTTCTCTTTTCCTCCAATCCATCCATTTATCCATCCATCCATCCATCCATCCATCCAATAAACATTAATCTCTCTGTATTTAAAAGAAATGTATAAGGACTCCTATGACCATAATGGTCCTTGTGGACCATGAACCTATGAGAAAAATTGTGTATGCAAATTATTATTATTATTATTATTATTATTAGTGACCAAAGAATGGGCATAAACCAAATGTGATGAAAATTCAAAGGAGGAAGACACTTTCTGGCTGGTGAAGATGCCATTTCAGCTGGGCCTTAAAAGTTGGCAAAGATTCTAATATTCGTTCTAGACATAAGGAACAACATGAACCTAAGTCTCAAGTGAGTAGAGTTCAATAACCTCAAAATTCAGATTTCTAGCCTTTTATGTTCTAGAAGAAATGTATAAACATTGTAAAAAGCATTCAAACCAAATTGAAAATATATAGTGTAAAAGGTGTCTCCTCACTATTCACTACCCTTCTGTGAGAGATAACCTCCTCTCCAAAGGTAACTATCATTCATCATTTATTACAAATTTGTCCAAACTTTTATATATGATTAAATTAAAGCTCTATAATTATTTCACTAGGAAGATGCATCAAGGCTGTATATTGTCACTCTGCTTATTTAACTTATATGCAGAGTACATCATGCAAAATGCCAGGCTGGATGAAGCACAAGCTGGAATCAAGATTGCCAGGAGAAATATCAATAACCTCAGATATGCAGATGATACCACCCTCATGACAGAAAGTGAAGAAGAACTAAAGAGCCTCTTGATGAAAGTGAAAGAGGAGAGTGAAAAAGTTGGCTTAAAACTCAACATTCAGAAAACTAAGATCATGGCATCCAGTCCCATCACTTCATGGCAAATAGATGGGAAAACAATGGAAACAGTGAGAGACTATTTTTGGGGGCTCCAAAATCACAGCAGATGGTGACTGCAGCCATGAAATTAAAAGATGCTTAGTCCTTGGAAGAAAAGTTATGACCAACCTAGACAGCATATTAAAAAGCAGAGACATCACTTTGCCAACAAAGGTCCGTCTCATCAAGGCTATGGTTTTTCCAGTAGTCATGTATGGATGTGAGAGTTGGACCATAAAGAAATCTGTGTGCCAAAGAATTGATACTTTTGACCTGTGGTGTGGAGAAGACTCTTCATAGTCCCTTAGACTGCAAGGAGATCCAACCAGTCCATCCTAAAGGAAATCAGTTCTGAATATTCATTGGAAGGACTGATGCTGAAGCTGAAACTCAAATACTTTGGCCACCTGATGCAAAAAACTGACCCATTGGAAAAGACCGTGATGCTGGGCAAGACTGCAGGCAGGAGGATAAGGGGATGACAGGATGAGATGGTTGGATGTCATCACTGACTCAGTGGATATGAGTGTGAGCAAGCTCTGGGAGTTGGCAATGGACAGGGAAGCCTAGCATGCTGCAGTCCATGGGGATGCAAAGAGTCGGACATGACTGAGCAACTGAAATGAACTATACTGAGGGAGATATTATTAAACACAAAAGTGGGTGAAGTAACTCCTTTGGGCTAAATAATTCTTTCAGTGAATGTTCCATCATACCTTGTTATTATATGGCTATTGGCTTGAAACAATTTAAAAGGTCTCAATACAGCATTGAAACTAGCTATTGTTTATAAGGAGTCATTTTGACCAGAACTGGAAGAATGCTAGAGATGAGTATTCACACACTAGTCAGATGAAAATATTCCACTCACAATAGAAAGTCTCATATACACTGAGATGTGTAATCAGGTCTTAACCATCAGAACTTTTGGTATACTATAAACTTTACTTTTGTCTCCAACAGAAGGTGAATTTTACTCCAATAATGGAATGCTGATGAAATTGTTGGAAGGCTTAAGAGAAATAAGACATGTTGTCCTGTAAAACATCACCTTAAAAATAAACCAAATGAATTATTTATCAACTTGTGTCTAACAGAACAGCCAAACTGAATTTACTTATGCTTCTTCCTCTCATATCTAAAATCAGATTTTAAAGGAACATATCATAGAGCAAATGACGGGAACCCAAGTCATACAAATGTAGAGCACTTACCCCAGACCGCCATGAAAACAGCAAAGAAAACAGTGGCGCCATTGTCAAAGAGGTGGGTCACCTGGGAACATGAATCACAGTTAAACTAGTGTCTTATATACAATATTCCAATTCACATTTTTCACATCCTGGAAAAATAGCTCTGATGATGTGATGAATTTTAAAGGGTTTCTTTGGGGGATATTCATTTTAGATCATAAGGAAGAAGTTTTGTTTTTTTTTTTCCCCAAACTGTGAAATAGTTTGGATATGGAAAGAGAATTTGCTCCATTTATGTGAGTATGACTTAGTTGAGCATGGATCAGCAGCCCCAGCAGTGCTATTAAGAATTTCCTTTGTGTGTTATAAAAACTAACACACATCTACATATGGATAGGTTTGTATTTAAGACCGGTAAGTATTCATGTTGCTGCTATAAAGGTTTCTGATTTTCCCAGCACTGGTTTTAATGCCTCACTTATTCTCTTTGAAAACATGTCTATTTTGTGTGTATAGTTTTGAACAAACATTTTCTGGGCTGCCCTCTGGACTTCAGCACTGTAAAGAAGAGCAATCCATTAACACAAACCACTTCTACCTTTATTAAAACCTCAGGTAATCACTACATTTACCTCTTATTCCTAACACAGAGACAGCTAGCAAATACTTTATTGCTAGAATAATACATTTTATTTCAATCACCATGGCAGAAAGCAAAAATACCTATTTTTGCTGCAAAACTGCCGAGCTCATTTCCGCCTCCAGGATAAATCACACCACTACCAGGCCAAATTGAAATGATGACAGATACGTTCATAAAGCATAACCTTTTTTTGGTGCTTTATAGCTCTCTATAAAGTATAGTTTACTGTCCCTTGGAGAACATGCCAAGTATAAGCAGGTCTTTTCCTATTATATCAGAGTACAAAATATTTCAAAATTTTCCACAAGTTTATGACTTATTTCTTTAAACACAGGGGAGATGGGCAGCATTTAAATACTTAGTGTGAGACAAGTCTAAAGCCAAGTTATTTTGATGCCAGAAGGAGTGTTATGCTGTGTACATCAGGTGGTCAGCATCAAGTCAAGCCTGAAAGTCCTAGTGGTAGGTGGGTGGTTTATGCCCCTTACAAGGGTATTCTGTGGTGGAAACTCCCTGCACCATCAGGGAAGATTCTGGAATGGATTGTGGTTGTCACTGTTCTGGGCTGTGTGGATCAGCTTTCGTCCTCTCTGGGTAACAGGTCTCTCTCATGTAGGTCACTCGGAGTCACGTGGCTCAAACACAGCCCATAGGAGTCCTTCCCTGGGATTGGTATGCAAACACTTGGAGAGACACGTTTTCCAGCTGCAGTTACCAATCTGGAAATATGTTTATCAGGGTGAATGAATAGGAACGTCCAGTCCCTCCTAAGATGGTGAGCTAGGATGAGCTGATGGCTCCCTCTGCCAAAATCAAAGTCAGAGAAACAGGATAGTCGATTTCAGGAATTGACAGAACAGAAACACACAGACAAGAGCCTGAGAAATGCTGGGGGAGTCAGAAGGCTGCTTTAATGTGTGTGCGTGTGCACACGGGCACGCGTGTGTGAGATGGTGGGGTGGAGGTGGTTCCCAAGCAGAGTGAGAACACAGGATAGAGAAAAAATATCTAAGTTCCATTCTAACCCCTACCTCAGGGGTACTGGAAAATTAGTTTCCCCTCCCTCAGCAATCAACTACAGCAGGACAAACCATGAGGGCAGGTATCCGTGGGTGATATCAGGGATGCTCAGTCCTGTTTTGTTGGAGGAATGAGGGATGTCTCAGGCTTTCGCTTCTCAGTGCTTTCCCTCTTAAACCCTGGGGACGGTTGGTTACAGTCAAGGGGGAGAGCCTTCTCCCAATTCTGCTTTGTTCTAAGCAGGCTTAAAAATGATACGGGCCAGAAAATTCCTACACTCAGTGGTGCCTGGGGCACACTGTTCTCTTCTGAGAACACACTGTTCACCAGGATTGACCTGGCTTCTGACCCTTACCCTACGTGACCGATACTTCATGGGACCAGCACTCATGGGCTAAAATAACAGGATATCTGGGGAAGCCAACTGCTTCCAAAAAACTCCAAACTAGGCAATATACACTTTCTGAAACAGAAATTGATGAAATCTGAGTACTTTAAACTATTCATGATGCTCCTTTTAAGGAATTATTATAGCTCCCCTAAAAAAAGAATTTTACTCAGGGCAGACCTTTCATATAACAAACACTCCCAAGCAAAAAATAACTGGGCTTTTAAGATTCCTCAAAAGCAGGATTTTTACACCTGAGTCATTTGTGCTTAGCTCACAATCTTTAAACAAAACTTTATTACTGAACAAAGTCTTCTGATTCTCAGCACCACCTCTCTATTTCCCAAGCTCACTCTACTGAATTTGTCCTCATCCAGGCAGGTCTAGCTGCATGTTCACCAAAGGAAGGAAGAGTATTTTGTGCTTTTTTGGATCTTTGTAGCACATACTAAGGGCCCAGATCTTTCTAAATTCACAGCTGGCTGATTATCTTCCCACCAGACTGGCCGCCTGCAGGGCTAGAGACAGCATGAATGGGCAGGCAGGCTCCTGGGCTGACGATCAAATGTTCCTACAGTCAAACTCTGCAATGCCAGCCATATACTCAGAAAAATCCAAGTCACAGTGATTGCAGAAGTTACATAAAATCTGCCAACCCTTTTATACCTGAAATCTGGGTAAGCTGATGGGCAGTGGGTCTTGGAAAAGTTTCCATCAGTCTATACAGCCATTGCTTTGCATTAATGATACTACCCTTCAGTAATAAACCCTAAAACTTCAATGAACATGTCTAAAACTTTAATAAAGTAAGGAATAATATCAGAAAGGGGTATGTAATAACACACAGACACAATGGTTCTATGTAATTTTTTCAAAACACTTTCACATCTACTGTCTTCTCTGGTCCTCATGACATGCCACAGGGCAAGAGAGGGCAGCTATCAACGCTTGCACTTTAAAGATGAGAAAGCTTATGCTCAAAGAGGTTGTACATGTGCAAGGTCAAGGCAGGAAGCAGCTGAGTTAGCCTTCAATCTAGGTGTTTTGGATAATAATGATGGCGAAGAGGAGGAAAATGACAGCAGGTGTCATTTACTGAGACCTTGCCATTTGCCAAGCACTATACCCACCTGGGGCTCAGACAGAAGAATCGGCCTACAGTGTAGGAGACCTGGGTTCAATCCCTGGGTTGGGAAGACCCCCTGGAGAAGGGAATGGCTACCCACTCCAGTATTCTTGTCTGGAGAATTCCATGGACAGAGGAGCCTGGTGGGCTACAGTACAGTCCATGGGGTTGCAAAGAGTGGGACACAGTTGAGTGACTAACACTTTTACTTTTTTCATGCTCATCATACACCTTGTCACATTTAAAAAATAAAACAGTCATCATGTTCTCCATTTCACAGGTGGGAAAACTGAGGCACAGAAGAGGTTACATAATGTGTTCCTACACTGACAAGTGGTAAAGAGCACAGTCAAGATCTGAACCTAACTTTCGCTGATTCTATCAACTGTTCTATTTGCTCCCTGTGCTAATATCAGAGCTATAACATTGAAAACACATATGCAGTAAAAAGATATCTGAATTAGAGCACTAAATGATGAAGATAAATCTCTCCTGCAAAATAAACTTGAGAATAAAAGATCAAAATGGACAGAAAGAATGTGGTCACCACTGTCTCTCAGGAAGGTATATATTAAATTTAATCCGACTAAAATACTGCATATTTGAAATTACCTTGGCATAAACACAGCTGTCTGACAGCCTCATGAATGGACAGTATTTATCACACACAGGACACATGATGATATCTGTAGCTTGGCAGACTTCTTTACTGGAAAACAGAACAGAAAAGGATTGCTTTTTGATTTAATGACATAACAGCATTTTCTTCCCCTTTAATTTCACCAGAATAGTTGACCAGTAAATAAGATTCAGTAGATCAAATTTTTGCCCTTGGAAGCTTCTTAGCCTTTTCTTAGCTATTAATGTAACCAAGTGCCTACATAGTTTTATAGTTTGATAAACCTACTTATTTATCAGGCTGTTTCTTGGCTTTTCCATACTAATAAGTTAAGCTCAGGAAAACACATGAGGAAAAACATTGATGGCTATATCTAAGATTATACAGGAGTCATTTACAATATTGCACAGGTTTGAAGACATTTCATACTGAATTATGGGAAAAAGGAGACACCTTAAAGTGCCAGTCTTATGTGTCCCCCATCCTGACAATTTATGCTTTGATTATATTGTGTTAAAATGAACACAGGTTAAGGACTATCAAATTTCCCTGGAGAATAAATTGTTTCTTTTGCCATTAGCGATATGCAGATGACACCACCCTTATGGCAGAAAGCAAAGAACTAAAGAGCCTCTTGATGAAAGTGAAAGAGGAGAGTGAAAAAGTTGGCTTAAAACTCAACATTCAGAAAACTAAGATCATAGCATCCAGTCCCATCACTTTGTGGCAAATAGATGGGGAAACAATGGGGGGAAAAAAGTGCCAGCCTTAATTTCTATGTGCATGATAAATAAGAATGAATTATGGAGGAAAAAATACTAGGGATTAGTTCTTGGAGAAAATTACGTCTCATTAATGGTTTCCCCAGAAATTAAAATATTTTTGTAGGTCACTTCTATTTTAGCAATCACTTCTAAAAGGCACATTTCTTATTTAAGGTCATAGTCCAGCTTTGTATTAAGATCTCTATGAATACCTTAGACTATATTCTAGTGAAAGAGCCAAGATAATAATTGCTAACATTGACTCATTCACAAGGTCCCAGCAAGTTGGTGAGATGTCTTTCTTACAAGTGTCTAGCTTACGGGTCTGTGTAAGAACATACAATTGACAAAAAGATAATTAACCCACTATTTTGCAGTAGTAGTAGGAAAAAAAGGTAAAAAGGTCAGAAAGAGAACAACTTTAAGCCAGTGAATGAAAGCCATTTGTTCTGTGCATACATGTTTGTGTGCTCAGTCGTGTCCGACTCTTTAAGACCCTATGGACTGTAGTCCACCAGGTTCCTCTGTCCATGGGATTCTCCAGGCAAGCATACCAGAGTAGGGTGCCATTTCCTCCTCCAGGGGAATCTCCCCAATCCAAGGATTGAACCCACGTCTCCTGCACTGGCAGACGGGTTCTTTACCACTGAGCCACCTGGGAAGCCCTCTGTGGATTCACAGTGACTTGCATATTTATAAAAGTGAATCCTTGGTAGCTAGAGACCACAGCAGCAAGGGCAATGGATGGACAGATTTTGTGAATTGAACCTTTAGAATTTTCCCAGGAGACTGGAAAGATGTTAAAATGAATAGCTAAGTGGACCCACAGTCTGTAAACACTCCCAAGCCACAAACACCCATCTCCAAACATAAGCAAAGGCAGGCTCACCTAGAGCTCTCCATACCTGACTTGGCAGTGATCCAGAGTGATGACGCCATACAAAAAGACAAACAATCCAATGAAGGCAGCTGGGAAGAGCATGCCGGTGTACCAGCCCAACCAGGCAAAATACAACCCAATCTTCTCTCCAAAGTACCGCCTGTTTGTGATATAAAAGCCTTGCAAATTATATTGAAGTGTTTACAGTCAGGCATTCTAACACTTTGGCCAGTCATTTAACTTTGTGGTGGCCTTGCTGATAACCATACAGACAAGCTAAGCCAAGAGAATGGAATGTTTGACCAAATCTAGGCTTTGGACTTAAACTTCTTTTCCTATTACTCTAGAAAAGAAATAGTATGAACCCTTTCATACAAGAACATGATCATACACAAGCTTGTTCTGAAAACACAGGGCAAACCCAGCTCATTCAGGAAATTATGTATAATACTGTTAATCATGAGGAATCAGGGGAATCTGAAGACTTGGTGCCAACATATAATATTTTTGCCATTTCTGAGTGTGTGTTTGTTAATGCATGCATTATATATATATTTAAGAATAGTAAGCAAAATTACTGCAAAAATCTTTAAACACCCCTTTTAATATACTATAGTTTTATAAGATGTTTACAATGCTAGAATCATAAGATATCACTAAGAAAGAACTCTACTGAGACTCAGTATGAATCAATACTGAGAGCAACTTTCCCTTTTAAGTGAGGACTTTTCACAGGCATCAACATCTACCTCTATAAATATTTTTCTGAGACTAACCAGTCTGCCTAGTGCCCTGTGGTCTGTGAAGTTTGAAAGTGTCCAGGGAATTCCTTGGTTTTTATTTCTTAAATAATATTATTGTGTTTTCTAGCCCACACTTCATAACTTAGAGCTTAATTATTTCTTAGTCCAGTGTAAGAATATTCTGATTATTTTTTATTCTCATTCTAGACAAATGTTGACAAATGCTGGCCATCTGTCTCTGAATACTGTCTGCTGCTCTCCTCCTACACAATGGCCCCTAAAAATCATGGATTATTATTTATCATGTCTCCTAGTATGTCTCAACAGAAACCTTCCTCTTCCAGAAGACTTTTACAGCATATATTCATATACACATAAATTCATTTATTCATTCAACAAATTAAAATCTATGCCAAATACTGTGCTAAGTGCTGAGAATACAATGGTGAGAAAAATAAGCTTGGTCCCTACTCCTCTGAAGCTTGTGGGTGACAGAGGAGACACATATAAATCAGTTAAAGAAATAAGCTTCTAGTTAGAAAGCTGGGGAAAGAGAGGAGAGGGACAGAGTGCAATAAGCATGGATAACAAGGCAATCTGACGACTTTAGCCAGGGAAGACTTCTTCCCTGAGGCGGTGACAGTTGTGCTGATGAATGAAAGTTAACTGGGTGGGATAGAGTCTTTCCAGCAGAGGAAACAGAGGCCCCGTGGTAGGAGTGATGTTGGTGAAATAAGGGCAGTGTGGCTGGAACACTGACAACAAGAAAGGGACTGGGACTTCCCTGGTTGTCTAGTGGTTATGACTCTACCTTCCAATGCAGGAGACACAGGTTTGATCCCAGGTTGGGGAGCTAATGCCTCGCCGCCAAGAAACCAAAACATAAAACAGAAACAATATTGTAAAAAAAAAAATTCAATAAAGACTATAAAAGTAGTCTGCATCAAAAAAAATCTTTCATTTTAAAAAAGTGGGCTTTGAGGTGGGCAAAGGCTAAGACTTGATGGGCCTTGCAGACCATACATTGACTTTTGTCCTGAGAAAACTGAAAAGTGTTGAAAGGATTTTAGCCAATCCAGCCCCTTGGACAGGAAGGAGATCAAACCAGTCAATCCTAAAGGAAATCAACCCTGAATATTCATTGGATGGACTGATACTGAAACTGAAGCTCCAATACTTTGGCCACCTGATGTGAGGAGCCAACTCATTGGAAAATACCCAGATGCTGGGAAAGATTGAGGGCAGGAGGAGAGGGGGCAACAGAGGATGAGATGGTTGGAGGGCACCACTGACTCAATGGACATGAGTTCGAGCAAATTCTGGGAGACACTGAAGGACAGGGAAGCCTGGTGTGCTGTAGTTCATGGGGTTGCAAAGAGTTGGACAGAACTTCGTGACTGAACAACAACAACAGCAAGGGATGTGACCAGATTCACGTCTCCAGGGTAGAGAATGACATGGAAGGGCCAGAGAGGGAACAGGAAGACCAGGTAGAGGAAGACAGTCATAGTGCAGGTCACAGGTGAAGGCAGTAGGGGCAGAGGAGACACTCGGTGTGATCCGAGAGAGGTGGAGGAAGCAAAATCTAGATATAGGGCAGGAACTATTTAAGATATGTGATTCCCCAGTTGCTCAACAACATCATTCCATTCAAATCTTGCTTGTGTTTTTCATGCCCCGTCTCCTTGGCCAACACCAATCCCACTGCTCTTCTATGGCTCGGCTCTACGGGGCCTTACACAGGGGCACTGGCCCATATCCATCCTTCCAGTTTTCCTAATTGCTGTCAAACTTTTGTCCTCACACACGTTACCACATTATGCAGGGCTGTGTTTTCCAGTTGTTTCAAGTTTGCTGGGCTGGTTTTCCTGGAGGAAACCATGCATTTCTCAAAGCCAGAGACCATGGGTTCTCTGTCTTTGCCAATGGCACTTAGTTTTGTACTAGGAACACAATGGATAGTTAATTAATACTCATCAAAAAATTGCAAAATCTTAATCAAGAAACTGTCATGGATGGGAGATGCTTTGCCAAGACTGACTTTGATTCCCCCCTGCCCCACCTTCTATTCTATCACATATTGAGACTGGACAAAAGTAAATGGTCTCATCTGAGAAAACATTTTTCACTCTCCCAGGTCATGTGGATCATTTGTTACTCACACCCAGAAGGGGTCACAATTCATCAATGTCATTGGGTCAACAGGAGTAAACCCTTGTAACAAGGACTCTGTAAGGAAGAATGACTACTCAGGGAGACAAAATGTAAGTTGTCTTATTATTTCATTTTCCTCTGGGTTCATTTTTTAAGGGCTCGAGGAAAAGTGATATTAATCCACCTAGTCTAAGAATTAAGGTATGATTTTCTTTTTAATAAGGAATCAATGAAGTGTGGATTGTCATTACCCAATCTGAATTATCAGTCTCTAAACAAAATAAACACTGCCATGGCAGAATGTTGGGCATATATAGACCATTAAAGAACATACATTTTCAATGCATGATTATCTCAAGTTAAAAGCAGATACTTTTTTGACCTGTGGAATTAAAACAATCTTTAAAGGTTATTAGTTTGAAATGAAAATTAAAGTAAGCCTAAAATTTACTAGCATGACAGCACCCTCTCTCTCCTACTTGCCTAAGAGTTACTAATATTCCATTGTCATTAACACACGTAAGCAGCGTTACCTCTCTACAATTGTTGTTGGTACTCTGTCCCTAACAGTCATGTGGGTGATGAGCGTCTTACGGAATCCCGTGAGAAGCCTGGTTTAATCTCACACACCCCTTTCTAAGTCCCTTTTAGAGGAAACACCAGCCTCATCAGAAGGAGGTCAGGTTTACCAAGAACAATCCACGTTCTCTGATGAGCTGCCCTCTTGGGAAGAAGTCGGATTTGAGTGTCAGCTGTGCATCTCAGTTTGTTTCTTCCCCAGTGTTGGCTTGTCCCAGCTCACCGTCTGCCCTAATTATCCTGCATAAGCTTTATGGTCACAGCTGGTTAAGAACTCACCTTACAAGATCCAAAGGCTGGTATTTATACCACACACCCCAGGACGCCCAGCACTCATAGAGCAGATGTCGGTGGTTTACCGCTCCGTGGGTTCTAATGGAGTTTTTACTTCTGTAACTTCCCTGGATAAAAACACCATGGCCAGTGAGGTAATACCCGCAAAAGCCAAGAGCAAAACCCGAGAGTAATGCCAGTTCTTATTTTGTTTTTATCTTTTTAAGGTAGTGAAGATATTCTGTATGATACTATAATTGTAGATGCATGCTTATTATACATTTGTTTAAACTTATAGAATGTATGGAATATAACACCAAGAGTAAGCCTTAAAATATGAACTTTGGTTGGTTATGATGGTTCAATGTAGATTCATCAATTAAAACAAATGTTCTCCTCTGATGGGGGATACTGGGAGAAGCTATGCATGTAAAGGAGCTGTAATACTAGTTTTTATGGCAAGAGTAGCAATAGGGATGATATAAGGACAGATCCATTCTATTGAAGGGAAAAGAGTAGGATTAGTTATTCCAGACATAATTTTGATGCCATACAGTAAAAAGCCCATGCTTGCTAGAATCAGGCAGGTCTGAATGAGTTCAAATTCAGTTCTGTTACTTTTTAGCTAGGATATCCTAAACCCTCTGAGCCTTGGATTCCCAGTTCACAGTGGAACTAACAACATCTGCTTCATTAGGTTTCTTCTGCGATTTGAATGAACAGAGCATCTTGCCCAGAGGCCATGCCCAAGACTTAGGAGTTCTCTTTCCTACTTGTCTCAAGACAGAAGTATCAATAGTTGGTAAACAGCTGGTCACATGACCTTGTGACCAAGGGCAGAAAATTTTTACAATGTAAGATTTGTAAGTCACCTCAAATTTACAATAATTCAAATATAATTTGACATCCTCATGGAACAAATGAGGATACCATGGGTCAGAGGAGTAGGCTTTTTTTTTTAAGTTCAGTTAGTGTTAATGCTGGTTTCACCAACAGAAAAGGCATGCTGTCTGGAGGTAAACTTTGACATTTTAACTTGAGAAGTCCTCTCTTAGGGGGAAGTGAACAGGCCTGAGAGACAAGGAACTCACTCAGATTCTAGTCTCAGCTCACCCACCAGCTCACTCCGTGACTGGGACTAGGCTGAGCTTTCTCTAAACCTCTATTTAGGTTTTCACCATAAAACAAGGCAACGGGAGCTGCCCTTCCTGCCTCTGAAGGTTGCTATGCAGTCAAATACTATAATGAGGTTAAACTGAGAGCAAAAGTCAAAAGAGCGATTATGTTATTACTGCAGCTGCAATTACTAACTGGAAAATTCTCTTTTCATACAATGCAGGGATTTAGCAAGATATGAAAACCACATAGAAGGCCTGGAGTTACTCTGGGGTTTCACAGTTGCATCTCCTCAGGTATCAGCAGGCCCACCACCCACTCGTCTGCATAGAGACTCTGTCCACCCACAACTGCTCAACACTGCCCTTACTGTGGGCAAGGGGTAGGCAGTGGGAGAATTCAGTTCTCATTGAAACCCTTTATTGGGGGCAATGCCAACTAATAACCACATGGTATCCTTTGGGGACATGTGTCTTTCGAGTTCAGTATATGGTTCGAGAAAACTTTTGTGTCAAAATGTTTGCTTCTATCACACAAAAAGGATCATTCCAAAAAGGTTTCATGACTATCTATTAATAGGGTCTCAGATCAAAGCCTCTAGTTTTCTTAATGAAAAGGTTTTAAAAATTTCACTAAATACTCTGTGGTGACCTCAACACAATAAAAGAGGGAATTTATGTATCCGTATAGATGATTCATTTTGCTGTATAGTAGAAACGAATGCAACATTGTAAAGCAACTATACTCTAATAAAAAAATAATAATAGTAAAAATTCTATACCACCTTCTCCATCCTCCTGGTGTTTAAAATCAAGAGAAGAAACTCCATAAGCCATATAAGAAATATATTTTGGGAAGACCTGCCACTGGCAGACAGCTGGAACTGTCCTCCAAGCTGAGCTGACAAACTGTTAACATGTTTCAAACAGAAGATTGTTAAGAAAATCTAACAGTAGTTTGACCCTGCCACGGTGTGAGGTCTTAGAGGACACCAGTCAAGATACTTATCCTTATGTTCTCAGTGTCATACTATGACTGGTATGGAGGAGGTGCCATGAAAATGACAGAAGTCTCTCACCAATTATGAGAATTATGGCCCTGAGAACCCATATATGTAAAGAGAATTCTAGATTAAATTACCATATATGTAAAGAGAATTCTGGATTAAATTACCTAAAATTTAATGGGAAAAATAGAGGGAAGGGTAATTACATTTATAAAAGTCCTTAGAGATGACAAAGATCATGCAGTAAATAAGGAGAATATAAAAATTTATACATCTTAAATAAGCAACAAGTACAATAGTATTAATTTCCAGTTATCATCCTTTAGTTAATACAGCTTTCATAAAATGGCTTCCTCCCACTCTTTAAGGATTAGCTATAAATTTTTTTGTTGTTGCAGAGACTATATATTTCAGAGACATTTTCCCCCTGGGTCCAGCACGTCATGCAAATTTTCAATGCCTCTTTAATTTTATGACTTGGAGTCCCTCAGTCATTCTTCTAAATTCATACTCTTGATTCGAGTACTCTTGCAGTTACATAAAAAAGACACGGAGAAATAAATCTGTGCTGGGCGAGAGATGTAACAATGCAAGTAGGACCTCCCCAACTACTCACCGAACAAATTAGATTCATTCTAAACAAATGTCGTATCAATGAACGCAATTAATGACTATCCCCAGAAGCTGATTTAATAACAAGGAATTGACAGAGAAGGAGAAAAGACAGGACAATACCTCGTGCAGAGGAAATGCAGCTTCATAGGAGCCATTAGTAAGCAAACGATTCAGACCTACAACAATAAAAAAGTCCAAAGTGAATTCATACCGAGTTTAAATCCTCCTAATGTAAGAGTAATGTAACGGTCATACTTTTTGGAGAAAACAACCTATGTCTTCAAAAGTAGTTCAAATACTTTTGGGGAACAACAGTTTAGAAAGTTTTTCTATCTGCTAGGAAACTGGAAACAAAGACTAGAAAATCAAGTTTTCAAATAGGAAAAACATGATGAAGCATACCTAGCATAGTACTTGGCATAGAGAAGGGAGCATGCTGGGAGAAGTGGATGAATTAATCACACCAAAAAGATGACTTTCCACCTGAGCTTTCCTATTTTCATCCAGAAGCTTCAATATGGACAAACCCAACTCCTTTGCATTGGGCTAGTGGATGACTTTGGGAAGTCCTCTTGTTCTCAGCCCTCAACTGTCTCATCCACAAAGTGAGGGAAGGATATTGGATATGTGCATTCGAAACGGTTTTATTGGTCAGATATAAACCACAGTTTCCACCCAAACTTAAAGGGAAGGGATTACACATTCAGGAGTCACCCCAGCCTGTGTCTATCATGGGTTTATGAATTTGATTTTTTTTCAAAGAATCAGCTTTTGGTTTCATTGATTTTTCTCTATTTTTTCCATTTCATTGATTTATTCTGATTTTTATTATTTCATCTACCAACTTTAGTCTACTTTAATTTCCTTCCCTACCCCCTAGTTTCTTAAGGTAGAAGGCGAGGTCATTAATTTGGGGCCATTTCTTTTCCTATATACACATATGGTGCTATAAGTTTCTCCCTCTCCTGCACACTTTGTGATACATTGTTTTTTCACTTTCACTGAATACAGCAACTTTCTGATTTCCCTTTTGATTTCTCTCATCCATGAGTTATTTAAAAATACATTATTTAGTTTTAAATATTTGTAAGTTTTCCAGAGATGGTCTTATTGATATCTAATTTAATTCCACTGTGGTCAAAGAATTATTGTCTTATGTCCCTCAAGTATGATCTCTTGGTAATATTCTGTGTTCACTTAAAAAAATTGGGTATTCTGACGCTGGTGGTAGAGTGGTCTAAAAGATCAATTAAGTTAATTTCATTGATAATGTTTAGGTCTTCTAACCTCCACTGATTTTCTGTCTACTCGTTCCATTAATTATTGAAAAAGTGGTATTGAAACCTCTGACTATAACTGTGGACTTGCCTTTTTCTCTTAGCAGTTCTATCAGTTTTTGCTTTGCAGTTTGAAGTTCTGTTATTAAGTGCATAAACATTTAGGATTTCTATGTTTTCCAGATGCATGCCTCCATCATTTTAGAATAGCCTTCTTTATCCCTGGTAGTATTCTTTGCTCTGAAATCTATTTTGTCTGATATCAGTATAGGCCTTTCAGCTTTCTCTTGGTTAGCACAGTATATATCTTTTTTGATTCTTTTACTTTAAGCTATTTGTGTCTTTAAAGAGTGTTTTTTGCATGCAGAAAAAAATAGGTCTTGCTTTATTATTTAATGTCAACTTCTGAATTCTGGATTGGGATTTTCAAACCATTTATATTTAATGCTTAGTGAATTATGAGGTGCTCCACTAGTCTCACTGGAAATCCCTCTGGGTTGCTCTTTCTCTGGCCTTGGGTAGTTTTCTGATGTGTGTCCTAATCAGTACCCTAAATACTTGAGGAGGCTCTCTGCAGATCTTCAGGGTTCTCCATGAAGCTGTTTTCTGGTGTGTTGCCCTGGGAACTCTGGCTGCCTTGGTCTCCCTGGACTCTCAGCAACATCTTTTCGACTCGGGGAATCTACTAGGTTCTGTGCGGGTTCTTTTTCCCTCTGTTGCTGTCTAGGAATCAACCCAAATAGTAAGCTGGGGCAACTGTAGGGTTCACTTCATTTGTTTTCCATCACTCAGGGATCCCTGTTCTTGGCTGCCCAGTGCTCAGTGTCTTGAAAACACTTGTCTCATACTTTGTGTCTTTCTTTTCTGATTGTTTCAGGTGGGAGAGTAATCTCGTGCCTGTTACCGCATCTTGGCCAGAAGTGGAAGTATAATGTTTTGCTCTTCAAAGTTTCTCTCAGATCAAGAGTGATACTACTTCCTAAAGTGTACTTCAAAGAAGATGACTGGAAAGATGTCTCTCAAGCAGCTTTTAGATGAGTGCTCTCCATGTTTCAGATCCTGATTAGAGGCCAGAGGCTTAGCCTAACTGGAAAATGAAACATGCACTGATTCTGATTCACTTTTTATTGATGGAGGATCAATCAATGTTTAGGTACTTTTAATCATGGTAACATGGTTAAATGTATTTTAAGATGCTTTGACATTAACTCTAAATGCCTAAGAAAGACACCTGATGTATAAAGATCCATAGGGCTTTGTCTAGCACAGAGGAGGCCCTCGATAAATACCTTTGTAATGAATGAACAAATGATTGATTATGTAGAAAACTTTGACTTCCTGGAACTTCTATCAAGAATTCTACATATATCATCAATCACTTTCAGATATCCCAGATAATAGCAAAAGATTCACAGGGACCTAATAAGAGACTTCTGATGATGACTCTTGTAAATTTGTGACAAATTATCAAAGTCCTGAAAAATGAGAAAACAGTTAATATTTAAAGTCTTCCCTCTTAAGCATCAGTTTTGAAACTACAAATTGATATCAAGATTTATTTTATGTACTTACATTGTTAAATAAGTCTTTTTATCTATTAATTGCTCTATCTGAAAATGGAATTCACTAGGTTTGATTTTCAGAATTGTATTAATCTCAGAGTGAAGTCAAAAAACTTATATTGTGGTAGTTTTCACTCCACTGAAATACCCTCATAAATCATGTCTACAAACCATATTTTTGTATTATCTCTAATCCATGTTGACTCATGCAAGATGCCACTTTCAGAAAGAGCTTCAGCCAGAAAATAAGATAAACATTAATTCTATTGATGAATTAAGTTTTCTTATAACATGTTTCTTTTAATTATGAAACTGAAGATGTTAATGAAACATTGGGTCAACAGAGCATTTACACTTGAACTTCAAATTTTTCAGCATAATGTCTGATCCTTGGTTAGTAATTTACTTTGTAGTTGGTTATTTCTAACTAGACATTTTTTCAGTTCCTCATTACTGATTTTCAAAGCACTGGAGTTCTTGATAGAATTCTTCTTTCATCAAATAAGAGAAAATTTTACAACCATCATTTCTTACTAGTAACAATACTACATTTCCTGTGTTTTTTCAGAACATTTACAAATCATTGTCTCTGCCCTTTTTCTGTCTCCATCTTGACGAGCTGTAAAAATAGCCCACATTTTTAGCTGCAAAAATTTAAGCACAATAATTTCTGTATGGCTTCACTGTAGAGTCTTTGATTGTGTAAGAATGCTGATGGTTAGACATTGATCATGTTTAAAAGATTTTCAGTTTGGTTCAACAAGCAATCTGCCTGTATGCCAGATACTATGCTAGGCTATGATGATACAAAGACAAATAAGGCAACTCATTTATAATTGCGAAGCTTATTATCTAGACTAGCAGTTTTCAACTGCAGATTCTCAACACCCTAGTATGTTACAGTGAGTTGTGAGGTGTGCTAATATTATACTACCAATATTAGTAACGAGACTGGTTTTAAAAATTCTTTGCATGTTATGAAATAATCCAGAATAGCTACTGCCCTAATCACTTCACTTCTACTCAGTTGTTTTCTAGTATGTTCCTGATATGATGTTAACCAAGAAAAGGATGAAAAAAAGTATGTGTAGCGTATCCCAAGTTTGTTAAAAAAAAAAAATCACATGGATAAATGAGGTATAAAGATGGAAAGAGTAATTAATGTAATATTTAAGTTATTCAGTATACAAGATGTTAACAGTGATTCTCTTTAGTTGGTAGAATTTTCATTATGTCATTGAAAGTAAATAATTCAAGATAATAAAAGAAGAGTTGTACATGGCTAATTACCATATAGACTGCAAAAATAATTTCCATAGGAATTCAGAAGAAGAAAAGACTCCTCTGAGCTGGAAGGGCCACGGAGGACATTATGAAGAGGATGTGTCTCAAGGATGGATGACTGCTGCAGAGAATTTAAGGACGTGCTAAACCATAACCCCATGGAAGCCAAGAAAGTCCTAAATCTGGTTCAATGTCACCATACCCACCTACACTGACTCTCACTGAACTAACTATTCCAGGTGTATTCAGATCTGGACCAGGTATCTGATTCTCCCTATTGTATTTTAATTTATACAGCTTGCAATCAAAGTAGTTTTTGGCAGCTTCACCACACTAGTGACTCATGCTTGCATTGAACTAAACCTCCCAAGTTGGGCCCTCTTCATGATGTGTTGAGTAACATTTCTCCCACACGGTGCCAAGGTAGCTGTTTTGCTGAATTTGAGCATAGCGCTGAACATTTACAGACTATTGAAAGTCATTTTTCAGATGTGGCTGAGATTTCCAGATCACTGAGCTCTTTCAGGATGCTAAGTCCAAGTGACTAACACAGTGCATCCTTCTAGTCTCGACTCCACCCGAGAGCCTGATGAGCAAACTCTTTAAGGCTCTGTGCGGGTTATCAACTGACTGCCCTTAGCTTTGCAGTAATGGAGGTGGACCCTGGACTTCTCCTTTGCCAGACGCTGCAATGCTGAGCTTTGTCAGTAGAAGGCCCAGATGGACAGCAGGGGAGGGAGGAGTTCATTTCCCTGGTACTTGTATGCTCCTCTCAGCAGGCTTCTGCAACTCACAGCTTCTATGGAAGTTCATGGTAGCCAGCAGCCCTGGGACGTCCTCAAGGGCAGGTGGGCCTTTGAACAGCTTCATGGATGATGACGCTGGGCACCATCTCCCAGTGAATGGATTCCTTTGGAACCCCTCTAGCCGGCTTCTCCCAGAGCTTGAGAGGACGGATTCACAGAGAACTCTGCGGGCACAGAAACCCCAGCAAACTGCTCTGCCATCCAAAGATCCACAACTGCACCCCTTCTAACAAGGTCTCCATTTCAGCTTTACTGTGGAGCATCTTCTCTTCTCTTCTATAGAATTCTTGCTCTTTACTAGTCAGTCCTCCATTACTGCAAACCTCCATCACAGTTAATTATTTATATTAGCTTTTCCTGTTCAAGGAAAAGTTATCAAACTGATAGTTCAGTTGGTAAAGAATCCACCTTCAATGCAGGAGACCCCAGTTCGATTCTTGGGTTGGGAAGATCTGCTGGAGAAGGGATAGGCCACCCACTCCAGTATTCTTGGGTTTCCCTTGTGGCTCAGTTTGTAAAGAATCCACCTGAAATGCGGGAGACCTGGGTTTGATCCCTGGGTTGGGAAGATTCCCCTGGAGAAGGGAAAGGCTACCCACTCCAGTATTCTGGACTAAAGAATTCCATGGACTGTATAGTCCATGGGGTTGCAGAGTCTGACACGACAGAGTGACTTTCATTTTCACTTTCCTGTTCAAATTCTGTGTGACTTTTTTATCTCTTGATTAGACTGTGACTGACATAGGTCATCATTCAAAGCATACATAAAAATCTTGCTGGGACAGAGATATGGACAAAGCTCCCCAAATCTTCCCAGTATATAGTAATCTACTTAATAAGGCAGGAAATTTGGTAATATATCAAGGAAAGATTATCACACAAATACCCCCAGTGTAGTATGTGGAGGTTATTTGCTGGGGGTGGTGATTGTTTGGAGAATTCACTTATGATGACAGCTCTTTTCTGCGAGTACAGCTTTCTGCACCTGCTTCTGCATCCTTCCACACACTGGCTCCCTCTTGTCATTCAGGTTTTAGCTCAAATTCCAGCTTCTCAGAAGAGCATGCCCTGACCACGCCATCTCAGCATGATCTCTACCCCCTAGTCAATCTCTATAACATCAGCCATTTCAACTTCTTCATGTGATATACTGTATGTACTTATTTATTGTCTGTTCTTAACTTCTTGAACATACACTGCAGGAGAGAACTGTGCTCATCTCCCTAACACCTTGCTCAGTGCCTGGCGCACAATGCATGCTAAGTCACTTCAGTTGTGTCTGACTCTCTGCGATCCTGTGGACTGCAGCCCGCCAGGTTCCTCTGTTTATGGGACTCTCCAGGCAAGAATACCGGGGTGGGTTGCCATGCTCTCCCTCCAGGGGATCTTCCTGACCCAGGGATCGAACCGGGGTCTCTTACATCTCCTGCATTGGCAGGCATGTTCCTTACCACTAGTGCCACCTGGGAAGCCCACCTGGCACATAATGGGCACTCCTTAAATATCTGTTGAATTGAGAGCACTTTTCTGTGATCTAAGATAAATGAGATGATGTGTTATCTTTTAAAAAGCAATCTATTAAGGTTTTACACTTCGGAGTTATCCATCAAGGAACTGTGCAGTTAGAGGCTTTATAAATCACAAGCATTTCTAGAATTGATATCAATGTAATAAAACCAAAGGAAAAAGTCTGTAATCCTCCAAATCAAATGTAACTTGTTATACTGATATACTACTTACCAATTTTGTTTTTTCCTTCTTCATACTTTATTCTTTGCAAAATATGATGTACAATTCTACTTCTTGTGGCATTGTTGAAGAAAGTGTCTTTGTTGTGTATGATGAAGCTGTACACACATATTGAAAACACAGGTTAAGGACTGATTGGAGCTGAGGGATCTAATCTTTGATATAATTTGCTGTGACTTAGGGAGCTGTGTCTTCTGTCTGTCACAGAGAGGGTAAGTCTGGAATAGCATGAGGAATCCCCCGCCCCTCACCCTAAGATCACACCAGAGGCAAGAGGTTCATGAATCTTAGCAGTTTTGGTTCTCAACCTCCCAGTCATTTATATCACTGTGTTAGGAAAGAGCTGGAGTTAAATACAATTAAGAAACTTGCAACTAATAGCAAGTCTATGCCTCACATCCTGTTTTTTTTCCTCAGTAAGGTCATCAGATAAATTCAACGAAAAATTCATTTTGCTTTTATCTCCTTTTGTCTTCCACTTCATTCTCTCCCATGTCATAATCACAAGATTTTTCAGGAATTTTAACATCTGAAACTGGCTTGGGTGATGGACACAGGTCTTAGGTAATAGCTCTGGCCTGGCTTAGGGCTGAGTCACTAGAAATGGCCTCTGTCCGTTCCTTTCCCACGTTCTCTCCTGGATGGACCACCCCTCTTCTAGAGCACGTACTTAAGATTGCTTCTCTCTCAGCCAAAGGCCCATCCCGCCTTGACTGTTTCTCACAGGACTCATATGAACACACACACACACACACACAACACTGAGTTTCCCGGTAGGTATTCCTACTCTGAGCCAACATAGAGCTTCCAGGACCACACAGTGCAGGATGAAGTGGCCAGATCTTCCCCGCCCAGTAATGAGTTAAATGGTCAAATATGAGAGAGACTGTAAGTATAATTGCTTCATAAATTATAGTTTATTACCTCAGCAGACTTTTATTCAGTATGTTGCATGAACTGGACACTATGTAAGGCTTATCAGTGGTGGCAGTCATCACCCTCAAAACTCAACTCAGAAGTCACTTTCCTTAGCAGGTCTCCCAACCCCTCTAACCACCCTTCTGCCCTCCAGGGAGTTCACTATTCATCTTCTCTAAGCTATTTCTTGTCTTGCAAACACATCAATTTACTGATCATTCTGTATAGTCATGTATTTATTTTCATTAATGAATTCAGTAAACGGTTACGGAGAACACTCTATAGGGTATTGATTATCCAGTGGGAAATAAAGCAGATAAAATCTTTGACCTTGAGAGGCTTACCGTCTAGTGGGAAAGATAAACCACAAAGGAAAGGAACATGAGGCAGATATGGGCAGAATCAACCTCCTTGTTCATGCCTTTCCTACATAAGACAAAAGGCTGAACTGTAATAATTTCTGTAGCCAGAGGAGCTAGTGAGTGGCTAGTACACAGTAAAGGTATAGGTTTTTGAATAGCAGTAAGAGAGTGTTTGTGTGAATTTATGTTGGGAATTGCTATTAAGTTTTTTTTTAAATAAGATGAATTCTTGGGAATTACTCAAGTCATCTAGATAAAACTGGCCTACAGAAAGAGTGGCCCAGGCATGGGGTCTGACTGTGGAACAGAATTGAGGATGTGAGGTTGGTATAAAGGAGAAAAAAGGCAGAGAATATGAAGACAAAATGTAAATCACATGGACGGATTCCTTGGATAGAGCTTTCTGTTCACTTCTATTGCACTTCTCTTGTATTCTGTTATGGAATTTACTTCTCAGAAAAAAGTAACTTGACTTGGTACAGGAGAGATAAATGCTATGTGGGTAAATGAGAAAGCAGCAGCATTTATCTTATCTCTTCTGTAGGGTTGTCTGAAAACATTTTATGGCGTCAAAGAGGAAGAGGGGAAAACAGAGTTACAGCAAATGTAGTTCCTTTTATCTTACTCTCCTCTGCTTTTTCACCTTATTTGAGATAGACTATTATATTTTAACACCCATAAAGATATCATAAAGAAGCAGATAACAAAAAAGTCTGTTTTGACTCACAATTTTAGATAACTGAAAGCTGATAAGCACAACCATGCCTGACAAGACAATTCCGGACTAAAAGCCCATGTCTCTTGCTCCTCCATTAAATGATTTTCTGCTTCTTTTTTTTTTTTTTAATAGCATTTCATTACATTTTGTGAGCTCATGTAATCATTCTCTGTACTAAGCATCACAGGCAAACCTCACAATTCTGTTTTCCTCTCCTTTACATCTAGGTCATACCTGGATCCTAGCGATTCTATAATGGGAACAAATATAGAGAACCTGTACTGCCGGCCACCAGCTCCAGATATGTTAACTCATGCCATGCTTACAATAACCTGGGAGGAAAGTACTTTATAGCCCCCACATTACAGGAGAAGAATCAGAGAGGTTAAGTGATACACCCAATGTCACTCAGCTTATAAGGGGCAGAGCCCAGATATGAACTCAGGCTGTCTGGCTCCAGAGCTCTATTCTTATCCATGCCACTCACCTGCCTCCCTGGGACAAACTTCTGACCCCTGGAGGTCAGCTCTGCTGGAACTGCTCTCCTTGCTTCTTACTTATCCTTAGAGCCCCAGCTCAGGTCACATCTTCCTCCAAAAGTATTCCCTGACCCCCCCACCCTCACCCTGAAAAGTATTATGGTGCTACAAAAAGAGAAGGAAGCAGAAAACCATTTAATGGGAGATGAGCTTTTAGTTCCAACATCACTCCTGCTTTCCCTTAAGACTTGGAAGTGAGATAGACCTCAACCTGCACCCCAGCTTTGTCACTTACTAAGGGGTGTTGGGACCATCCCTCAACTTCCCTGGGTCTCAGTTTCCTCATCTGTGGGATGGGATAAAACTGGAATCATCCTCCAATAAGATTTTTGCAGAATCAGGTGGGATGATGAGCACTGCTGAGCCCTGTCTGGCATTTAATAGGCTCTCAGAGTCAGCTGTTACCACCCTTGTCGCTTCTGTAACTTTTATACAGAACTTCTCTGCTTACATGACTTCTCTGTATGAGCTTCTTTAGAGCAGAGACTGGCCGTGTGCATCCCTATTTCCAGTCCTAGTACAGGGCGTGGCCCGTGACAAGCTCTTGCAGTCGGCTCAGTGAGAACAAGTGAGACCTTCCGGAGACCCCGAGTTAACATGGGGGTCTCCCAGTCCTGTGCTGCTGTGCTGAGTCGCTCAGTCGTGTCCAACTGTTTGTGACCCCACGGCCTGTAGCCCACCAGGCTCCTCTGTCCCTGGGGATTCTCCAGGCAAGAGTACTGGAGTGGGTCGCCATGCCCTCCTCCAGGGGATCTTCCCAAGCCAGGGATCGAACCCAGGTCTCCTGCATTGCAGGCGGATTCTTTACCGTCTGAGACACCAAGGAAGCCCAAGATGGGGGTCTAGGAGACTAAATCTCATCTCATTAGACCCTGACCTCCATGCCTGCTTCCTATGAATCTTTCTACCTACTCCATCTTTCCAGCTACCCCATGAACCATTCTCTCCATGTTACTTGTCTAAGGATATTCTTGTAGTGCATGGAGCCATCTCATTTTCTCTGTCACTCCTTCAAACTGGAGGTCTAAGAGGAAGAACAGTGATGATGTCCTACATCATGATTCTCAAGCTTCTCTTAGCCACTTGCAAAACAACTCTCTCCAAATGGAGTCAGACACAAACACATGCATGCATGAACCACACACCATGTAAGCTGAGCTGTTTTGACAAACATCAGACCTGATGCTTAGTCTGTGAGGTGTCAGCACTCTACCCAGGCTTGGAAACTCAGCTCTGCCCTTACACACTGCTGATGGGGCAGCAAACAAGCACAGATTCTATGAGGTTACCTTGACCAGGTCTATCAAAATTATTCATATATCCTCATCACATCTCCTCTGACCTAGCGATTCCCCTCTAGAAATTTACTCTACAAGTATGCTCACCCACATGCCAAGTGGCAGATGCACAAGAATGTTCATCGTAGCATGGTTTATCATAGCAGAATTCCAGAAACGATCTAAATAATTCACCAGTGGAGGAGAGGATAAACAAATACTGGTAGAGCTCTACGATGGAACGCTCTGCAGCTATAGAGAGATTAATGATGCTCAGTGCAGATATTAAAAATCTGCAAGGTACTACAAGGCAAAAACAAGGTTCAGACCAGTCACACAGCTATCTGTGTCCAAAAGAAAAGCGTATACATAGAAAGAAGTACATAGACATACATACTGACATATATGTTTGCCAGTGCATGTACAGAAGGACTATGGAAGGATGTATAGACATCTGGATACACTGGTTGCCTCTGGGAAGGACTCGGTGACTGGGAAGGGAAGGTAGGAAGGGAACTTCACTGTACGCACTTAAGAAATTTTTATCGTAAGTAAAAACAATACTTTTTTTTTTTTTTTTTTTTTACAAAAAACGGACATTTTAGGAAAAAGAAAGTTTAAAGGGAAAACTGCAATTTCTCTTCTAGGTCTGTTCTTACTTGCAGAACAAGTAAGAACCATTTTCGTGGTAAGGAAAGGTATAAACTGCTGAATTGGTAGAGGATCAGCTATAGGATTAAGGCTCTAAACATCTATCTACTTATTCTCCCCACTGGAGTGATTCTGTAATACATAATAATTGAAGTCATACAATCAGCAATTCAAAAACTAAATGCCTTCCTCCAAATCTTCCCGTTCTTTTGCAAAAGGAACCACTGGAAGCCCAGGCCTGCTAATATGCATGTGTGTGTGAAGGGGACTTTCTCGATGCTTCCATCTTGCCCTGTGAAAGAGGCCCTGCTGACCTGCTTACTAAGTACTGAGTGGGCCTGAGCCTGAAGCTCCCGCTGACTCCCCTCCAGGGTCTCTCCTCTCTTGCCTTCCCTGGAGGAGAACAGCTCTCGGTTTTTACTTGGGGAGGTGCCAATCTCCTTTCCTCCAAAATGGAAGGTTAGGGTTAGGAATATGCTGTGAAACTGAGGTTTAACTCCAGACCTCCTGGGGCTGTGGTCTCTAGAGACCCAATGAATGTTGCAGAAACTGTCCGATTATATCACAGATAAATTTTACTTTTTTCCCTCTAACTTAAAGATTCTGAAAATCAGTTTTATTGTATAATTATGGTTTCTTTTTAATTGTTACTACTTTGGGGAAAATAAAGGCAATGAAGATGCTTTTAAAAATTTGGCTTAATGCCTATTTTATGAAATTTCTGTGATTGGTAAAAATAAACAAGGGTCCTCCAAGGTATGAAAATCTCCATGGTTTAAAACTTCAAGTGGAAAATTTCTCAAAAAGCATTTAACTACCTATAGGTGGTGCTGTCTAATTATGTTAGATTTATAGCTACATCACTGACTTATAAATTAAAAATCTAAGACATATGATAAAGAAAGAAACAGAACCAGATAATTAATCAGAGTATGCTTCTTGGCCCTAGAGTACAGGGGCTTGAAGCAACTGTCCCACTGGGTTTCAGTACCGCTCTGTTCCTGCTGCCCTCCACTTTGACTGGAAGCATCTATTGTAATTATCCTGGGCCCATCGCTCCTTGGGCTTCCCAGGTGGTGCAGTAGTCAAGAATCTGCCTGCCAATGCAGGAGATCCAAGAGATGCAGGTTCGACCCCTGGGTTGGGAGGATCCCCTGGAGAAGGAAATGGCCACCCCCCTCCAGTGTTCTTGCTTGGGAAATCCCATAGACGGAGGAGCCTGGTGGGCTACAGTCCATGGGGATGCAAAGAGTCAGACGTGTCTGAGCATGCCGCATCTCTCCTCATGGCCTGTCGGAAACATAACGGGCTGCTGACTTGCTTTTTACGTGAACAGGCCTCTTGTCCAAGAAGAACTCTCCCTGAAGATCTAACCTGAAGAACTATCCCTGCTTCCAGGGATTCTCATCCTCAACTGAACCTGATGTTGGAACAAAAGATCCTGGACTTTGAGCCTAATGTCATATTGGGTTGAGACCTCTGGAGATCCTGAAATGGGAATGAGTATACTTTCTTTGTGGGAAAAACATAAATAAATTTTATGCCAGAAGGAAGACTCTGGTGGAGTGCAAAAACAAAAACCAAAAAACAGCCACAACTCCTCCCATTCCTGTATACACATCCCTTTGTGATGTGAATTTCTTGCTTCTTCCATTAAGAGGTAGAATCTATCTCTTCACCTCTGTGAGTGAGTTTTGTGACTAGGTTTCATCAACAGAATGTGGAAGAAGTGACTTTTGTGAGCTGAGACCCAGGCTTTGAGCACCCACTCCTGTCCATTTGGAACAAAGCCCCAAGGCTACCAACATACAGAAGTCTGACTAGCCTCTCTGAAGATAAATGACCACATGGAAAGAGAAACCCAGCCACAAGCACGCACCACCCACCAGACACAGGAAGGGAGACAATTTTAGACTGTCCAGCCTGGTGGAGCAAAGAGATGATTTCAACCTCATGTTGACTCCAGCTGAATCCAGTGGAAGAGCTGGTCAGCTGAACCCAGCACAAAATTCTCAAAGCATCATAAGCAAATATAACATGCATTGTTTTAAGTCACTGAGTTTTACCCTTACATGGCAGTAGATGACCAAGAGATCAGTCTTTCATGATGGCTGAAATTGTACTATTTCATAATACAAAAAGAAAAGTGAAGGTGAATGCCTTAAGGATAAATATTTCAGGAAACTTTATTAATTAGACTTTTAAATAGACACCTCTCTTTAACAAGCAGAAACAAAGGTGATACAGTTAATTGTCACTTAGAGTACGTCCTCAAGTTAATGAAAATCTAAGTAGGAACAAAGCAACCAATTAATTTTTTATGTGATGAGGCCTATTTTGATAGTTTTGTGGGCTTTAGGCTACTGCAGGGCGATACCTAACTCATTTTTTTCTTGGCTGCACCACGCAGCCAAGGGATTAAACCCAGGCCCTTGGCAGTGAAAGTGTCAAGTCCTAACCACTGGACAGTCAGGGAATTCCGGTGACTTCTTAAGAATACTGATATGAGTAAAAGGGTAAAACGACTCTCAGACTAAATATGTACTATTTATCTGATTGGTAAAAATTTTCAAACCCTTTTTAGGTGATAAGCTACTGGAATAAAAAGCAATGTGAGATGTTTTTATTCCAATGGTCATTCCTAATCATACTTCACAACCTTACCTTTGCTATTTGAATATTAAATGCAAATTAAGAAATACTTGCTCTTGAGACTTTTAGGTAAAGATGGAAAAGTAAACACCTGCATTCAATTTTTTTCTCTCTTAAAACCCCATGAAAACAAGAGTAACGTTTGTTTGTGTTTAAATAGAGGTGTAACACTCAAGGGACAGGGATAGTGAAAACAACAGCAAAGAAGCACTGGAGTGTGAAAAGCAGGCAGACAAGTGGTAACAGAGTTAGGAGACCAGGAAAAGCTGAACACTGACCCAGCTCTGGGGAAAACCAAGAAAAACTATGTATTTATGCTACAAAATCTCAGAAGTGGGACACAGTGACCTCTAGAAGTAGTCTGCAAGGGATGCTAAAATAAGTGCTAGCTGAAAGTTGTTTAGGAAGATGCTAGATCCCCAGGTCCTCACTTGTACTCTAACAGAATGCTGCGCTGCGCTTAGTCACTCAGTTGTGTCCGACTCTCCGCGACCCCGTGGACTGTAGCCCCCCAGGCCCCTCTGTCCATGGGGATTCCCCAGGCATGAACACTGGAGTGGGTTGCCATGTTCTCCTCCAGGGGATCTTCCCCACCCAGGGATCAAACCCAAGTCTTCTGCACTGCCTGTGGATTCTTCTCCAGGTGAGCTACCAGGGAAGCCCTCTCTAACAGAATACTGGAGCTTTCTTCTTTTTCCTTTTTTTTTAAATAGGATAATACAATATCTGAACTGAGACATTCAGGCATAGTTAGGAGTATGGGTATCATAGTAAAAACTGGAGGATCAAGTGAATATTTGCATTCTAGAAGCTGAGACTCAAATATCTTCAACCATTTAGGCTTTAAAACGCTAGCAGCTAAGCCTTGACTTTCTGGGCAGAAGACTGGCAAATACTTCTCTGGGGAATCTAACCAGCCTAAGATAAAAAATCTAAACATAGTGACACTGGAGACTTTAAACTGAAACCACTCAGCCATAAGGCCCACATAAGTTGACAGCTCCCACCTTACACTCTGAACTTCTCTTATTTTGCATTTCCTATTCTTAAATATATGAACAGTCAGCCAAAGATTACCAGGTATCTGAAGAAATCCATTAACATAAAAGAGAATAATACAAGGACAAAAACACAATGAGAAAGAAATATGTTAGAGAAAATTAGGCTCTGTAGAGTGATGAAACATTTAAAAAGTCTTTATGAATAAAGGCTATACATGACAAGCCCACAGCTAACACGCTCAACAGTGAAAAACTGAAGGCTTTTCTTCTAAGATCAGGAACAAGATAAGGAGGTCTACTCCCAAAACTTTTATTCACTGTAGTATTGGAGGTTTACTATACTTATTGTGATGATCATTTCATGATGTAAGTTAAATCATTATGCTATACCCATTATATAGTACTGTATTTCAATTATATCTTAATAACTGGGGAAAAAAAAGGAAAAGAAACACCAAACTCCCCCCACCCCTCCATAGTATTGGAAGTCCCAGACAGAACAATTAGGCAAGAAAAAGAAATAAAAGGCATTCAAATTGGAAAGGAAGAAGTAAAACTGTCACTATTTGTAGATGATGTATTATTTACAGAAAACCTTAAAGACTCCACTAAAAAAACTGTTAGAACTAACAAATCCAGTAAAGTTGTAGAATACAAAATCAGTATACAAAAATTTGTTGCATTCCTATACACTAATAATGAACTATCAGAGAGAGAAATTAAGAAAACAATCACATTTACAATTGCATCAAAAATAATAAAAGGAGGTGAAAGACCTATACACTGAAAACTGTAAGATATTGATGAAAGAAACTGAAGACTAAAATGGAAAGATATTCCATGCTCATAGGTTGAAAAAATTAATATTGTTAAAATATCCATATTGCCCAAAGCAACCTATAGAATTTAACCACTCTCAAAACTCCAATGGCATTTATCTCACAAATAGAAAAAAATCCTAAAATTTGTATATAATCACAAAAAAAAAAACCCTGAATAGCCAAAGCAAGCAATCTTGAGAAAGAAGAACAAAGCTGGAGGTATCACATGCCTTAATTTCAAAGTACACTACAAAGTTGTACTAGTCAAAACAATATTGTATTGGCATAAAAGTAGACATATAGATCACTGGGACAGAATCCAGAGCCAAGAAATAAACTCACACATATGTGGTCAATTAATTATTGACAAAGGATACAAGAGTATACAATGGGGAAAGGACAGCCTCTTCAATAAATGGCACTGGAAAAATTGGAGAGCCACATGTAAAAGTATGAAACTGGACTGCTATCTAAGTCCTGGAGCCGTAAAACTCCTAGAAGAAAACAGAAGAAGTAAGCTCCCTGCCACTGGTTTTGGCAACCTTTTTTTTTGACA